CGACCCAAATGTCTGCGTGCCTCCCGAGGCGTTGGCGTCCGAGAAGGGGCCCCAGTCGTCGTCCTCGTCCTCGTCGCCCAGCTCGCCGCTGCCACCGCCGGTTCCGTGGTGCGGCGTGAAGGCGTCGTCGAAGCCGCTGCCATCCTTGTCGCCCGGGCCGCCGCGCTTCATCTCGCTCGACAGCCACGATCCCTCGTCGTCGCTGTCGTCGTCGTCCGAGCCCGCCGCACCGCCGATCTGCGACGACAGGTAGCTGGCAAACGAGCTGCTGCCCGCACCTCCGATGCCGCCGTCATCGTCGTCATCGTCGGCACCGGAGCCAAACGACATCGACATGCCCTCGTGGCCGCGGTTGAACGCCAGCGGTCCGCCCTCCTTCTCGCGGATCTCCTCGAGCGTCTCGGACACCACCTGGCGCCACTCCTCGCGCTCGGTGTACGCCTCGACGGGCCGCGCGATCTCGAGCGGGTAGCGCTCGAGCAGCTTGACCGTCTCCTCGGCGATGAGATTCATGTGGCCCATGTAGCCGAGGCGAATGCGGCGCGGTCCCGCCACCGAGTCTTCGTTGCGCCTGCGGCCCTCGACGATGCGTCCGGTCAGGTGACCCTGATCAAAGACCGCCACGGTGAGCTTGCGGTTGAGACCGACGTCCATACGGCCGTTGAAGCACTGCTGCAGGATGTCGTAAACCACATTGTGCAAAAAGTTGTTCCACGGGTATTCGAAGAAAAGATCGAGAAGCGACGGGAGGATGCCGCACTCGAGGAACTTGCGCTTCAGCAGGTCGCCGACTACGTACTCCTTGGCATCGTCGATGGGGCTGGGCGGACCCGACAGTCGGGGTGCCGTCAATTCGGCGAGCGACAGGCCCGAGACGGCGGAACGTATCGAAGCGACATCCGCCTTGTCCTCCTCAAGCGCGTCGCTCGTGGTGATGCTCGGACTCCCGCTGTACAGGTCCTTGTCCTGGGGCGAGGACTCGCCGGCAGCGCCTGGGCTACTCTCGTTGGCAGAGCTGGTCTTGTCGCCAAGAGAAACCTCGTTGAGCAGCGCCTCGTCGTCCTCTTCGTTGGTCGACTCGGTCGAGGCGTCTGTGCTCGACTTTTCCCGACCGTGTCCCGAGCCAGGGTGCGACAAGACTGTGGTCGACTCGCCGATTGCATCCGTAGCGGATGCATCCGCCTTGGTAGCATCGTGGCCGAGGCTGCTCTGCCCGTCCTCGGCGACAGCGCCAGCCGATGTGTCGCCGACCTCGGGACCGTCGCCGCCTTGCAATGTCCTCGCCAAGGTCTGTAAGCCTTCCAGACCGCCAGCGAGCACGCCATCTGCCGAGTACTGCGGCCCTTCGCCTGGTGCGCGATTGAGAAGAGCCATGTTGGAACAGTGGAGCAGCTCGGCGTAGAGCTCGGTGATCCTGTATCGCTCGAACGTCAGCGGAGCGACGTCACCGACCGAGGTGGGCACAGTGACATCGCGCTCTCGAGGCTCGTTGATGAGCTGCTGGAAGTCAGAAAGCCGTTCCGAAAGCACTCGGAGCATGGGTCCCAGATGGACGAGGCCCATCTTGTCGACAATCTCCGCCATGGCCTCTTCCATGCCCTGCACGTCCTCTTCTTCTTCGTCCAGCGCATCCATCGCCTTCTGGGCCGATTCTTCGTCATCCTGCTTCGGCTCTGCGGCCTGGTCGCCCGACGCTTCCTGCGAGGCGGCGGTCGCCTTCTCGGCTTCCTCTTCTTCCCGCTTTTGGAGGCGCTTTTCGGTGAGTTCGCTTTGCCTCTTGACGAGATGATTGTGCAGGGTGCGAAGCAGATGCTGCTCAAAGTAGTCGCTGTTGTTCTTGCGAATGAGCTCGATGAAGACGCCGATGCAAGTCACCAGCGTCGAGCTGCACGTCTCGGCAGTGATGGGCACGGTGGGTGCCGAAACGGGAGGGACGAGATTGTCGGGCCGCACTGTAGCGGTGGAATCGCGGTGGTCGTAGCTGCCTGGCGAGCGAGACTCGGAAGCGGGGAACTCGCGCGGATTCAAAGGGCGAGCGAAGGATTCATCGTCCTCGTCATCGTCGTCGACCACGGCAGAAGACGACACAACGTCCTCCTGGAGCGTCGAAAGCGAGGCGTCGCGACGTTGCGAGGGCTTGCGCAGATCCTGCACGGAGAGCTGCGACAGCTGTTCGTCGGCTACGTCGGTGAGGCGGCGATGGAGTTGTCGAGGCAGCTGCGAATCGAGCATGTAACCGACCATCTTGCGGACGATGGGCTCGCTTGCCAGTTCGCGCACGAGGCGATTGTTGATGCCTCCCGCGTTCTCCTGCTGCTCGCCGAGGCCGGCGCCGAGCTCCTGGCCCTGACCCTGGTTGAGTGTGGCGGGGGAGGGTGCCGATAGCGCGATCATGGCCTTGAGGAGCTCGGACACGGTGTTGTGGATATCCACCGAATAGTTGGGTGCGAGCAGATCGACGGTGCGCGCTATCAAGTCCTGCGACGAGAGCCAGTCGATGATGTCGGTGCTCTGTCCAGCAGTGCGCACCGTCTCCTCCATCTGGATGATCCGGAAGAGCAAGTCGACGACAGCGGGCGTCTCGAGATGGGCCACAAAGCGCTCGACGATGCGCGGTTGTTCCTTGATGAATTCGAGCATCTCGATGGGCTTACGCTCCAGATAAGCGCCGTTGACCTTGGCCCAGTAGCCAGCAAGCACGCCGCGGCCAGGGCCGTTTTCGAGCGCGCTAGTGGCGCGCAATCTGCCCTCGGGCTCGGACTCCGAGTCGGAGGAGGATCGAGAGCTGACGCCGTTCCCAGATGCCGCATTCGAGTAGTCGGCAAAGTTGGTGACGCTGAGATGCGGCGAGGGCGAGGTGGAGGCGGAGGAGCTTGCCGAGCCGTGCGAAGATGAGGCTGCGTTCTCGGCAAAGAGGGGATGCGAGTGCATAGGCAAGGGCGCCTGCGAAGGCGATGGACTTGATGTGAGCACGGCATTCCAGAAGGGGACGAGATACTGGTTGGGATCGGAAAAGATGGCGTCGATGATGGGCCAGATCTCGCTGCAGCTGAGGACCTCGGAAGCGACGTAAGGATACTTGAACTTGACCTTTTCCTCCCACTCCTTGCCGCCCGTGCCGCCGACGGTGGCGGTGCCAACGACATGCTCTAGCAGCCTCTTGACGATGCGCGGCTGTCTCAAGAAGTTGATGAGCTTCTGATTTTGGGACTTGCACTCCTGGAGCAAGTCATCTTCGTCGAGGACGTCCTCGAGCGTGACGTTGGGCTTGTCGAGCAGCGTCTCGAGCGTCGAGACCGACGAAAAGCCGAATCGCCACTGTGGAGACGTACAAGCAAGCGGAAACGGAATGGAAAAGGCAGAGTATGATCAGTATGGCCATTCCGGATCAAGGGCGATCTGCCGAAGCGGGCGAGTCGAGAATGTTGCCCATCATGACAGAGCGGGGATGCGGGAGTCTGGATACCTACAAACATGATGCCTTTGTAGTCCGACGCGGAAGCAGCTCTACACCCTCAGAGTGATGGAGATGCTGCGGATTTAGCGTGGCGGCTTGTGCAAAGGCAGTTCGTTGCTGTCCAGGTCACTGCGTCACGATCGGCGTTGCAGAGGTCCGGAGCAGATGAGCTTGCGCTTTGTCAGGTGTGCGCAGTATCCATTCAGATTCGGGCTGCAGCTGATCGGCTTGAGGTCAGAGTCGACAAAGCAGCGCTGGGCAGAATTGACAGGTCGATGGTGCGGGTGGTCGAAGCAATGAGTGCTGAAAGCCGGGCGGGAGCGGTTCAAGTCTTCGAAAGAGGTCGTGATCAAGAAATGCGGGGTTGAGGCCTGTCGAGCGTATACGGTCGGAGACGGGAGTCGAAGCGGTCCTGGCGTCCTGCGACAAGGAAGAGGGTCGATGTGGTCCTTGTAACAGTGCAGGAACGATCCAGATGGTGAGGAGAGAGGGTCGAGTGTCGGTGGAGAGGATTGGCCGACCAGCCGCGGCAAGAAGGGTCCTCTCCGCTGTCTCTCTCTCTCTCT